GTGGTGTTTGGTTTTCTGTTCCTGTGTTAGTTTGCTGAGAATGATGGTTTCTAGTTTCATCCATGTTCCTGCAAAGGACACAAACTCATTCTTTTTTATGGCTGTATAGTATTCCATGGTGTATATGTGTCAATTTTCTTTATCCAGTCTATCATTGATGGACATTTGGGTTGGTTCCAATTCTTTGCTATTGTGGACAGTGCTGCAATAAACATACGTGTTCATGTGTCATTATAGTAGGATGATTTATAATCCCTTGGGTATATATCCAGTAATGGGATTGCTGGGTCAAATGGTATTTCTGGTTCTAGATCCTTGAGAAATTGGCACACTGTCTTCCACAATGGTGGAACTAATTTACCCTCCCACCAACCATGTAAAAGCGTTCCTATTCTGCACATCCTCTCCAGCATCTGTTGTTTCCTGACTTTTTAGTGACCACCATTCTAACTGGCATGAGACGCTATCTCATTGTGGTTTTGATGCATATCTCTAATGACCAGTGATGGTGAGCTTTTTTTCATGTTTGTTGGCCTCATAAATGTCTTCTTTTGAGAAGTGTCTGTTCATATCCTTTGCCCGCTTTCTGATGGGGTTGTTTTTTTCTTGTAAATTTGTTTAAGTTCTTTATAGATTCTGGATATTAGCTCTTTGTCAGATGGATAGATTGCAAAAATTTTCTCCCATTCTGTAGGTTGCCTGTTCACTCTGATGATAGTTTCTTTTGCTGTGCAAAAGCTCTTTAGTTTAATTAGATCCCATTTGTCAATTTTGGCTTTTTTTTGCCTTTGCTTTTGGTGTTTTAGTCATGAAGTTTTTGCCCATGCCTGTGTCCTGAATGGTATTGCCTAGGTTTTCTTCTAGAGTTTTTACGGTTTTAGGTCTTAGGTTTAAGTCTTTAATCCATCGTGAGTTAATTTTTGTATAAAGTGTAGGAAAGGGATCCAGTTTCCGTTTTCTGCATATGGCTAGCCAATTTTCCCAGCACCATTTATTAAATAGGGAATCCTTTCCCCATTGCTTGTTTTTGTCAGGTTTGTCAAAGATCAGATGGTTGTAGATGTGTGGTGTTATTTCTGAGGCCTCTGTTCTGTTCCATTGGTCTATATGTTTTGCTACCATTACCAATCTGTTTTGGTTACTGTAGCCTTGTAGTATAGTTTGAAGTCAGATAGTGTGATGCCTCCAGCTTTGTTATTCTTGCTTAGGATTGTCTTGGCTATATGGGCTCTTTTTTGGTTCCATATGAAATGTAAAGTAGTTTGTTCTAATTCTGTGAAGAAAGTCAATGGTAGCTTGATGAAAGTAGCATTGAATCTATAAATTAGTTTGGTCACTATGGCCACTTTCATGGTATTGATTCTTCCTTTCCATAAGCATGGAATGCTTTTACATTTGTTTGGGTCCTCTCTTATTTCCTTGAGCAGTTGTTTGTTGTTCTCCTTGAAGAGGTCCTTCACTTCCCTGGTAAGTTGTGTTCCTAGGTATTATTTTATTTTCTTTGTAGCAATTTTAAATGGGAGTTCTCTCATGATTTGGCTCTCTCTTTGTCTGTTATTGGTGTATAGGAATGCTTGTGATTTTTGCACATTGATTTTGTATCCTGAGACTTTGCTGAAGTTGCTTATCAGCTTAAAGAGTCTTTGGGCTGAGACGATGGAGTTTTATAAATATACAATCATGTCATCTGCAAACAGAGACAATTTGACTTCCTATCTTCCTATTTGAATATCTTTATTTCTTTCTCTTACCTGATTGCCCTGGCCAGAACTTCCAATACTATGTTGAATAGGAGTGATGAGAGAGGGCAGCCTTGTCTTGTGCCAGTTTTCAAAGGGAATGCTTCCAGCTTTTGCTCATTCAGTATGATACTAGCTGTGGGTTTGTCATAAATAGCTGTTAATATTTTGAGATTTGTTCCATCAATAACTAGTTTATTGAGTGTTTTTAATATGAAGCGGTGTTAACTTTTATTGAAGGCCTTTTCTGCGTCTATTGAGATAATCAAGTGTGTTTTTTTGTCATTGGTTCTGTTCATGTGATGGATTACATTTGTTGATTTGTGTATGCTGAATCAGCCTTGCATCACAGGGATGAAGTTTACTCGATTGTGGTGGATATGCTTTTTAATGTGTTACTGGATTTGGTTTGTCAGTATTTTATTGAGGATTTTCTTTTTTTGTTGTTGTGTCTGTGCCAGGTTTTGGTATCAGGATGCTGCTGGCCTCATAAAAAGAGTTGGGGAGGAGTCCCTTTTTTTTTTCTATTGCTTGGGATAGTTTTAGAAGGAATGGTACCAGCTCCTCTTTGTACCTCTGGTAGAATTCGGCTGTGAATCTGTCTGGTCCTGGGCTTTTTTTCTTTTTTTCGGTTGGTAGACTATTAATTACTGCCTCAATTTCAGAACTTGTTATTGGTCTATTCAGAGATTTAAACTCTTCCTGGTTTAGTCTTGGGAGAGTGTATGTGTCCAGGTTTTTATCTATTTCTTCTAGATTTTCTAGTTTGTGTTTATAGTAATCTCTGATGATAGTTTGTATTTCTGTGGGATCAGTGGTGATATTCCATTTATCATTTTTATTCTGTCTATTTGATTCTCTTTTCTTCTTTATTAGTCTGATTAGTGGTCTATCTATTTTGTTAATCTTTTCAAAAAACCAGCTCCTGGATTCATTGGTAAATCTCATTTTTATTTAAAGTTCCTTTATGCAAATGCCAAAGTCGTCAAACTTTGGGTTTGAGATTTTGTTTAAGGAAGTTAAATACAAGTTAGCAAACAAAAGTGAGTGTATTTTGAGTGTCTTTTTCTTTATTGTATTTGACCATACAGCTAAGTTTCTTGCTATACTATATTTATTAAGCAGCAATATGAATTTAAGGTAGCTGAGAGCATCTCAAATGAAAGTAATGAAGACTGAGAAAACTACATATCAAAGAAGAATCAGAAAATAGATATAAAAATCTTAGAATTATTTTTCTTTTAAGAAAAAATGATGAGGACATGCATCAAAACTTTTTTGAATTCCCACTTCTTTTTTAAGGCCACCCAGATTTTTTTCTAAATATTTTCAAGATATGTCCAATTCTGAAACAATTCCCTCGATTAAACACCAAAAAAGTAAATAAATAAATAAATGAAAAACTACTACTTGTCCTCTACTCCGTTCCTGATAACAAAAACCTTTGTTTTCCAAAAACTTACAGGCATAAAATGTATATCATTAAAAGCAAATATAATTGCACCATTAAATAAGTATTATAGGAAATATGCTTGCTTTAGATGATGTGAGGCTATCTTTACCGCAGAGGTTAAAGCAACTAATGCGAATAAGACAAGCTTATTAACTTGTGAATTTTATTAAGAACAACATAATGGTCATCAACCAATGTAATGCATGCAAAACACAAGCTTGTGTTACTTGTGCTGTTGATTCTACTAAGTGGTTAATGAGTCAGTGACAATTTCACATTCAAATAGCCTGCTGAGTTATTTTTCTTTTAAATGGGTAAAATGCTTATTATGAAATAGAGAAATTAAGAATTTCTTAAGAAATCTGTTAAATTCTGAATTTTATTTATCAAACTCTGGCTCAAGTTTCTAATATCCTTTTAAATGTAAATGAGAAATATATGTACATTATTCCATTGATCATGAAGGAATGTGTGCCATGGGTTTGGTCAAGATATACACAATAAAACAAATGTTGTAAAAGGTTTATTTATTTAAAAGCTAATTTGTGCAATTCTGTGAATTTGCTATATCACAAGTAGATGAGATATCTAAATTAGAATTATTTCATTTTTTGTATCATGTAAGAATTGAGTATGAAAATCCTAGGTCAGAGAAATTAAAACATAAATTGACGAGCTTATACATTTCACTCATCTTTGTGTGGGGTTCAGTCTAGGATCCTCAAAGTCCAATTTATTACATTATTGCAAAAATGAGTATCGTGTTGTCATAAAAAGCTCTGCAGTAACAAATGGCTATTTTAGCATGCTTATCGTCTGAACTTCCCCAGAGACCCTACCACTGAAACCCTCAGGTGACCTCATCAATAGGCAGGTGGCAGTTGATCAATTCTAGACAAAGTTACTGGGAGAATAATTTGAATTACAAGAATTTTGCTGCCTATAGTGTAGACAGAAGAGAGTAGAGGTCATCCATCTTTCGAATTTGCGTGCCAAGTAGTATTTATTTTTTGCTCTTATAAGGAATAGGGAAAGAGGCATTACTGGGAAACTCCAAAAGGACTCTGGAGCTGGAAATTCTCGTCATGTCTAGCACTTGGATCCCAGTCAGAAAAGTGTAGGTGCAAGAGAAGAGGCTAGTGCTCCCGTATATCTCGGGACATTCTGGAGTTCTTTTTAAAATACAAATTCCACAGTCAGTTCTGCTCATATAGCACCTTAATTAGCAGCTTAACTTAGCAAGAGAGTAGCAACAAATGCAGGAGCTAATGTCTAGAATTTGGAGGAGAAGAGGGCTTTAATACAGTTACATGCCAGCCTAACTACTTTGTATCTGTTGTATCTCAATGAAGATTGGGGGAAAATGTATAGGAAAGTTGCCTTTGTTACCAATAAAACAGATATGAACCCCCTTCACCCAGTTCCCTACCTGGATTTCTAGGAAAATTAGAATTTTAAATGCCAGTTGCAAATTAGAATTAGAAATTAAAATGCTGGTTGCAAAAATCATCGTTTTCTTAGGATAAAACTACTCTCCTTATGACCTCATGGTCTTTCATCTTATATTCATGGTGCTAATATGTGTGTATCGCTTATTATAAAATGCTTCTAACACTTTTTGGAAGAAGCAGGTATATAATTAATAAATAACCTTTTTACTAGATTTATCATCATGAGGTTTTGAATCTACTTTCAGCCCAGTTTGTAGATTCACTTGTCAGCTGTAGAATGAGAGCTATATAAACTCAATAGAGGGGTTTTCACCATTAGGAAGCTAAAAGAATTGTTCTTTCGTATATCTATACCAGCACACTGTCCGTGAAGAAACGATGATGTTGATGACTGAAGACATGCCTTTGGAAATTTCTTATGTGCCTTCTACTTACCTGACTGAAATCACTCATGTCTCACAAGCCCTATCAGAAGTGGAACAACTTCTCAATGCTCCTGACCTCTGTGCTAAGGACTTTGAAGATCTCTTTAAGCAAGAGGAGTCTCTGAAGGTAAAAGCAAAGCACTTTCATTCAGATTTTACAAGGTGATCATACCAATCATTCATAATGCCAGAACAATTGACTTACATTTTATACATCATGATGGCATTTTGACTTACATATGGAATTCTTAAAAATACTTTATAGTGTGATTAGCTTCAGAAATCTTGGGTAGAAGCACCTAAGTTAGAAGATGTATTTTACAATATTTAGTGTTGAGAGACATCCTAAAATGAAGAAATGCACGAAAATAATCATTTTATACATGCAGTACGGATAGAAAGGAACCCCCAGAAAACAAACTTATATGGAGGAACAGTTTATTCCTAGCTAATGGATTATTTTCCTTTCATTTTCCAAAAAGGGAAATTAGATTTTTCATTTATATCTAATGTGCATTGTTTTTGTTTTATATTTTTTGTATACTTATTCAATTTCAAATTAATGTCAATACCTATGCTATAATATATGGAATAAAATTGAATAGAAATCAATAAAATATTTTCTTTATAACTGCTAGTGAAAGGCTACCAACAAAATCCATCTGTTTTCAAACCACCAGCAGCAAGTTACTGCATTCTGAAGTAAGACAAATCATGATAAGGAAGTAGGCTATGAATTTTAGAAGGCAGTGTCTGAAGATAAATGAATGTAGGATCAAGAAAATGTACATAATAATGTGTCTCCAGATAATTTTGTGATCATACATTTTATACTCAAAATGAAATATTATAGTGTACCCAGAGCTTGGTATTTTCCAATGCAAACGGCATGTGATTATAGGCAAAAGATGAGTTTGCTATCAGCAGCACATATTAGCTAAAGTATTTTATACTCAAATGATTTCCTGGAAGCTCATTCTATGTCACACATTTGCCTGTATGAATATACAAATGGATAAAGCTATTTGTTTGTTTTGGAAATCGGTGTTGCAGTATCTCAGTGACTTGACTTTAATATCTTACATTATATCAAATAAGCTATAAAATTACACAGTAAAATAAGAGCTTCACAGATCTCTGGAACTATTCCATCCATGTCAGTATGGCACTGTTTCTTACTCTGTTTGAAGTAAAAGTCAAATCACTCATTGGTACAATGAGGAAAAAAACCCTAATCGGTTAGTAAAATAAAGCTGACATGCCAGAATTCCTGTCATTATTTCTATTAACTAAGTTCTCATGGCAGCAGAGTTTGTAAGTTCATCATTGTCATTCAACATGTAAATTACTGCGAGTGAGCTAATATTCATTCCTTCCCAGGATCATGGACATTTGATTCAGGAGAGCAGTGACCCTGATCTTATTAAGTTGCCCATTGAATAACGGTCTCCATACCTCTTAACCTGGCATGCTCAGAATGGTAGACCCTTGGCTACACTCATAGTGGATCATTTGTTCATCCTGATCTATTTAATATTATTATAGCTGACATCAATCATAATAGTATTGATTACTGTGATTTATAATATGGTATTATTGCAGGTTTAATTTAGCTAAATGGTTGAATCCCCATAAGATGCAGTTGTGGGCATGATTTCTTCTCTCTCCCAACAAATCTCCAGCAAGTGAATGGGCTTCCTACCTTCATTGACTTTTTGAAGGGGGATAGTTTTGAGCTCAGTCTTTTCAATGAATATGTATTTCCTGTTAAAGACATTCATCATTGTCATTATCCAGTAGTAAAAATAGAAAAGCAGTGCATAAATTGTACAGCTGCTGGTTGGGAAGGTTTGAAATTAAATTGTGGTTGATTTTATTCCTGACAGATTTGCATGAATCATATTACAGAACTATAGTAGGTATTGCTGTGCTTTAACATACATATTTTTTTGAAAGTGCAATATAAAACAAATAATATGTAATAAGTTAAAAGAATTACTTTCTAAACAAAATACAACTAAAATAGCACATATGGTTTCAATAGATGTATTGAATTGGAAAGCTACCTAATCATGTTGACAGAGACTATGCAGAAAAACACCAACTTATATATGGAAATCTGCATTTAATAGCAAAAACACTAGCTAAGGCAGAGCTAGAGAGGAATGAGAAACATACACATAAGTAATATTTTCGTTCTTATTTCAGAGCCAATATTAGCAGTTAATTGATTGTGATTGTTTATATGTACAAAGTTAATAATGCTCATAACAGACAAGAGTACATAATTTTAGAAGAATTGCAATTTTTGGAAGTTTAGAACAATATTAAGTTGCATTTTATTTTTAAGAAAAAATCATTTTCATGATAAAATTTTCCAAAATATAATTACTGTGTTAAACCATCAAATCCTGCTTTAAAGTATCTCATATGAAAGGATGAACATAGAATTTCTTAGCATCATAAGTTTTAAGTTACCAAAAGGTTTTCTCTTGAGAGAGTTAAATATTTGAAAGCTTATCCTAAAAGCAGAAATGATCCACTTAGAAGACTTAACTGAAAGGATTTATCATCATGTGTCCATATGCCTAATTTTACTGACAGCGTCAGTTTTATTGGAGTATGAAACACTCTTGGGACATCACTCGTATCATTTCCTGACTCAGCATGCCTTGTACCCTGACTGGCAGCTGCCAGGTCCAAGTGTCTCTGTTTGCCTTAGGGCTCTCTCTAGTAATCAAAGCTCATGAGTGTCAGGTAGTTAAAGCTCTGCATCCCCAATGTTCCCCAGCAAACCTCAACCAATAAAAGATAACTTTTGGTGGATAAACACCACTACTCACTCGCTCTTCAGTTAGGGTAACTCTGAAGCATGATGTATGCTCTGACCCACAATTCTGTTCCAGGATTAAGACCCCATCGCACACAGTAAAAACCTGCCTCATAGGATACTTTTTACTTGCTCCCTGTCTTACCTTACACACACTTACCAGCACCTCCTTGGATCATTCCCAAATACATCCCTTGTCTTAGAATCTGCTTTTAGGGGAACTCAATCTAGGATATTTTTGAAATAAATAGTGATATATTTACTGTGTAGTTAGCATCTACATAGAGAAATTCTTAGAAATAGTTCATGCAGGCCGGGCGCGGTGGCTCAAGCCTGTAATCCCAGCACTTTGGGAGGCCAAGACGGGAGGATCATGAGGTCAGGAGATCGAGACCATCCTGGCTAACACAGTGAAACCCCGTCTCTACTAAAAAATACAAAAAACTAGCCAGGCGAGGTGGCAGGTGCCTGTAGTCCCAGCTACTCAGGAGGCTGAGGCAGGAGAATGGCGTAAACCCGGGAGGCAGAGCTTGCAGTGAGCTGAGATCCGGCCACTGCACTCCAGCCTGGGCGACAGAGCAAGACTCCATCTCAAAAAAAAAAAAAAAAGAGTTCATGCCTTTCATGTGGAATTCTTCAAGTGATTCTGCTGCTCCCTCATTCAGGGAATCCTTAGCTGTTCAATTAGGCCTTGGTATCAATAAATGTGAATTTTTAGGACAAAAACAAGAACATAGCTTATAATAAGAATGACAACTATGATTTACCTTTTGCAATAATAAGAATCAATTTACAGCTAATATTATTCTTTATGGTGGAGTGGAATGTTTTCACCCTAAGATCATGAACAAGACAAGGATATCTGCCCACTTCCCTTCAGTATTCAACATTGTACTGGAGTTTCAAACCATTGAAAGGAGGAGGAAGGAAGGGAGGAAGTAGGGAAGAAAGAGAGTGAGGAAAGGAGGGAGGGAGAATCGAAGAAAAGAAATAAGAAAATAAGGAGAAAAAGAAAGAAGGAGGAAATAAATGGAAGGAAAGTAAAAATATCAGGCACACATCATTTCAATTGTCTCATCAAAACCAATTATAGTGCAGATGCCTTGTTTGGAGTGAATAAAATGTGCTATACTTTGGGTAACCAAGAGGATGATGAAAAATGTGGCCATATGAAGAAAGCTCACAGGTAGGAGACATGGTAGTCCTAATGTAGATTTTAAATAGGATTAAGAAATAGAGACAACCCTTGTTCAACTTCAACACCACAAGGGAAAGCTGGTAGTGAGCTTATAAGCCAAAGACAGTGTGAAGCAAAGTCGTTCAAACCCTCTTGAGTTCAGGTTTTTTGCATTGGTCTTGAGAAATAAAAAATTGTTAGGACAAGTAAATCTAAGGAATGCAGATTGATTCATTCCAAAAATATTTATTGAGCTCTTAGTATGGACCACACACTATTCTAAGTGCTTATAAAACAGTGAAGGAGACTAATGAATCTTTGCCCTCATACAGCTTTTATTATAACATTGGGAGACAGAATAGAAGCAAGCAAACAAAGAAAAATGATAAGTAAATATCATGTATTGCTAGGTAATACGTATTTTGGGGGAAAAAACAAAACAGAATCTGTTAAGGAGATATAGGACCACTACAGGGGTAGATGTAGGTATAATTGAAAGTGGTGGGATTGCAATTTCAAATAGGGTAGAAATGACCTTTGAGCAAAGATTGGAAGAAGGTAAGGGAGTCAGCCATGGAGTCTGAGTAAAGGCCCAAATGTGCGACCGAGCTTTTCTTAATCAAACACCAACAAGAAGGCCAAAGTGGCTGAAGCAAAACAAGCCAGCAGAAGAGTAGAAAGAGATGAGGTTATGGGAGTTGTGAGTGTCCAGATTGTGGAGGGCCTTTGGGGCCATTGTAAAGAAGATTCTAAATGAGATGAGAGCAGTTGTTAAGTTTTTGAGCAGTTGAGTGGCACGATCTCAATCATGTTTTAAAAGGATCACACTGGCTTCTGGTTGAGAGTAGAACTGTAGGGGGCCAATAGTAGAAGCCACAAGAGTTGAAAAAGATAGATGCTGGTGGCTTGGACTCAGTCAGTAGTGACAGAATGTCAGATTCTGGAAATATTTTCAAATTAGAGATAGCAGATTTATTTCTCTGGTCACACAGAAACTTAAGTATGTGTCTATGAAAACCCATTCTCAGCAGACTTGGGGCCGAGTTAGAATTTCGGTGACGTAAAACTTAGCAGAAGATCCCTTGAGAGATGTACGATTTCTTCTCATATTTTAGGCTTC